AAACTATCAGTGGTGTGCCATTAAAATAGTGCAGTTTGCACCATTTTTACTTGTGTGCTAAATAAACCATGAATCACAATGCATGTTCCTGTAGAATGCAGCATGTGTGTCCATGTACCATGTATGGTTACATGTGAACATGATGACAGATTCGGCCGCTGTCACCCAGTCATTAACTTCAATGGCTACAGTGAGCACATCTAAACAGATGTAGGTCGTTGCGGGAGCCCTCCGCACACCTCACAGCAGTCCCGGCCAGATGAGAAAAGATGGTGCTCGCAGTGATATTGGTTCACGGATGGCGCCGTGCAGACATAGAACAAGCAGGGAATAACCAGCACTCAATGATGAAAGCAAAATATGTCCCTTTAATGGACAAAAGCATCATAAAATTCAAAGAAACCGACGTTTCGGGGCCGCGCAGGGTCCCTTCCTCAAGGCAGAAAACAAGGGACATATTTTGCTTTCATCATTAAGTGCTGGTGATTCCCTGCTTGTTCCACATATAAACAGTGACACCTGGAATTCCTGCCGCAGGACTTCGTAGCTTCTTATCGCAGGAGTCCCAGAACCTAGCATGTTTGCCTGTGTGAATGGGGCATCAGAATGTTAGTGACCCAAGCAGTAGATGATGCAGAACTTGAAATTGAAGGTTCCCCTTGCAGTGGGGCTACCCCCACAATAGAAGGGTTAACTGCTCCTCTAGGGACTTTTACTTACCTGATCCCCACTCCTGCTGGCTCCAAAATCAGCACCCGCAGATTGGCTTTTACTGTATAAAGATGCCAAAGCTACTACAGTGCTAACCGACCGTGATCTTCCAGGTCCTGGTACTGCCACTGTGCTGAACGATTTCCCCTCTGCTCTGAAAACTTAGGTAGCCACATGCTCGCTCAGCACAGCAGCCATTCAGAGAACTCCTATTATTTTTACCAGTGAATACAAGGCATTCTTTGATTTGATGGTGGGCAGTAATAATATAATCTGTCCCTTGTCCAATCAGAGTATTCATTGATACAAATATCTGGCATTCTCTAAATGGTCGTTGTACTGAGCAAGTGACCCCCTGTGTTTTCAGAGCAGAGAGGAAGTCACTCAGCTCAGTACAGGGCCTTGAAAATCGTTGTAATGCATTGTAGTAGCTCCGACTACTACAGTGTTTTACAGGATCTTCATGGGCCGACCAAGTACAGAATATATATATTTACACTGGGCCAAGCTAGACCCAAGCAAGATTTTTTTTCTGCCATCAGCTAACCATCAAAATTGATTCTGTGAAGAAAAAAATAATTCTAATATTCAGCACTTTAGTTTAGTTTCAGACATCAGAAGCTTGTACATACTGTATGTGACTTCATCATGTATCGCCTTATTAACTATGGCCACTGTGACATAAAAGATAATACATTTTTTATATCAGTTCCCTGCAATTTCTCACTCTGCATTATCAATTGCCTATCGAGCCCAAACTCTATACCATGGGTAGCCAAACTCCGGCCCTCCAGCTGTGGTGAAACTACTAATCCCAGGAGGCATCACTCTCTGGGAGTCATGTCTGTGGCTGTGAGAATCTTGCAATGCCTCATGGGATTTGCAGTTCCACCACAGCTGGAGGGCCGAAGTTTGGCTACCCCTGCTCTATACCTATGCTGTCCTATCTTGTGCTCTCTCCCAGCTGGTCCCAAATTCTGGTTGTTGGGACATATGACAGATGACTTCTCCATTTGAATGAATGAGCTTTTTTTTCTGCCCATGTGCAGAAGGAATTGGGATCCAGCCAAGAGCCAAGCACAGAATAGATATGATAGGAGCATGGACAGGTATGTATAAGAATTAGTGGGGTGCTGGGGGAGAGAAGCAGGATAACTATATAAAAGTATAGTTCTACTTTAATTCTAAAAGATATTAGGCAGCCTATGTGAAGTAATACAATAAGTATAAAGTTCAGATGGTTAAAATATGTTTTTAATCTTAACAGGGTTAAACTGGGATCCGTAACATGGAGTCCATGCTTGTTTTGGCCAGTAAATGTTACTGGGTCAAAGGTGTACTCTTGCTAAATGTAATGGAGGTTAACTCTTTTATTACAGATAACTGTAATGTGATAAAATACAAGCTAGAAAACAGATTTCTGTTTTAAAAGCGCATGCAGGATAGAGATGGTCCTGTTTAAGGTTAACATATTACAAGCCTTCTCCTGTTTCTAGCTTCTAGCATCTTACACAGCAAGTTTACTTTACAACATTTATTGAAACATATGTATTTTATAATAATAATAATAATATTATA